TGTCCAGTTTCCTCTTATTCCAGCAGTGTTTCTGATATCTTCTGGTAAGATGTTGAACAGTCTGGGGCCGCTTATGTTGATGCAGTGTTATCTGACCGAGGCCTTCCACTGGCTTACCCCTTCACCCCTTTAAAAATTAAGTTTATAATTATAACCAACACACTTGTGTCAGCAACTGTGACGACCATGATCTTCCTCTCTAACTCTTCGTTGGCTTGTATTGTCAAGGTTAAACTTGTCCATAAAGTTTGTAATGTGACGTCTTACCAGCTTGTCAGAGATCCTGATGATGTGAGATGATAGTGTTCTGCTGTTACCTTTGTAAAGGTAATAGTTTACCAGGGTTCTGCTGTTACCTTTGTAAAGGTAATAGTTTACCAGGGTTCTGCTGTTACCTTTGTAAAGGTAATAGTTTACTAGGGCTCTGCTGTTACCTTTGTAAAGGTAATAGTTTACCAGGGTTCTGCTGTTACCTTTGTAAAGGCAATAGTTTACCAGGGTTCTGCTGCTACCTTTGTAAAGGCAATAGTTTACCAGGGCTCTGCTGTTACCTTTGTAAAGGTAATAGTTTACCAGGGTTCTGCTGTTACCTTTGTAAAGGCAATAGTTTACCAGGGTTCTGCTGTTACCTTTGTAAAGGCAATAGTTTACCAGGGTTCTGCTGCTACCTTTGTAAAGGCAATAGTTTACCAGGGCTCTGCTGTTACCTTTGTAAAGGCAATAGTTTACCAGGGTTCTGCTGCTACCTTTGTAAAGGCAATAGTTTACCAGGGCTCTGCTGTTACCTTTGTAAAGGCAATAGTTTACCAGGGTTCTGCTGCTACCTTTGTAAAGGCAATAGTTTACCAGGGTTCTGCTGTTACCTTTGTAAAGGCAATAGTTTACCAGGGTTCTGCTGTTACCTTTGTAAAGGCAATAGTTTACCAGGGTTCTGTTGTTACCTTTGTAAAGGCAATAGTTTACCAGGGCTCTGCTGTTACCTTTGTAAAGGCAATAGTTTACCAGGGCTCTGCTGTTACCTTTGTAAAGGCAATAGTTTACCAGGGTTCTGCTGCTACCTTTGTAAAGGCAATAGTTTACCAGGGTTCTGCTGTTACCTTTGTAAAGGCAATAGTTTACCAGGGTTCTGCTGTTACCTTTGTAAAGGCAATAGTTTACCAGGGTTCTGTTGTTACCTTTGTAAAGGCAATAGTTTACCAGGGCTCTGCTGTTACCTTTGTAAAAGCAATAGTTTACCAGGGCTCTTCTGTTACCTTTGTAAAGGCAATAGTTTACCAGGGTTCTGCTGCTACCTTTGTAAAGGCAATAGTTTACCAGGGTTCTGCTGCTACCTTTGTAAAGGCAATAGTTTACCAGGGTTCTGCTGTTACCTTTGTAAAGAGGAACTATGTCTGCAGCTTTTAATTAAGTGGTCAGGTATTTCAGGTGTATGTAAGTTGTGTGTTCAAGCTTCTGCTCCGGGTCAGTAACCTCGCCAGTTATATTCTCTTTCCTTCATTTTGACATTGTTAAGAGTACAATTAACCTTTTCTTTCTTTTATGATCTCGTTCTCGTTATTATTATTATTATTATTATTATTATTATTATTATTATTATTGGTACTTTAATGTCCTAGAATCCTTGATAAAACTTACTGACTTAAATAAACTTTAGAACATTTGTGAAAACAAAACAAATGTATGCATTTATTTTTCACTATTCAGTTCCTAATTTACTTTTTATATGAAAGAAATCGAGAAAAAATTAAATACTGGTTTTCGTGTGATAATTTGTGGCTCATCCGATAGACTTGCACACTTCAAGGCTGGTGACTTGATAGTGACACTTCAGACTTAATGTGCTTGTGTAATTTAGGATATTGATCTATTGAGATAGCAAGAGAATGCCTCTTCGGCTCGGCTTCTAATCTAGTGTTAGTGGAAGGTTCGACTTAGTTTTGGGCTCTGTATATATATGTCCTGATTTGCCCTTTTTCTCGGAAAAATTGGGGTATTTATTTCCGTGTGATGACTTGTGGACACCTGATTATCTTCAGCTTTCCAATAACACTAATATTGAACTATATTAAAATTCGCGGCTCCGCACTCTGCACTGTTCCTTACACTTACATTGATGTATAGAGATACCTGTCTTAGCGCAACGAACAAGACACATTGGTTTATTGTGTGTGTTTTGGCATGTGTTGTTGTTGCTGTTATTGGTATAGTTGTTGTTGCAGTTATTGTAGTTATTGTTGTTGTGGTTCTAACTATGAATATTTTTGTCTCCACACATACAGAGAACGTTGGAGAGAGAGGCCGTGGAGACGCCTCCCCAGACCGCGCCCAGCTCAAGCGTCTCCCAGACCAGGTACTGTCTCCTGCCACTGTCTTCAATTGTTTTAGCAATTGTGGGCTGTGAGTTGTTCCAGCCACGGTTTTGTGGGCTGTGAGTTGTTCCAGCCACGGTTTTGTGGGCTGTGAGTTGTTCCAGCCACGGTTTTGTGGGCTGTGAGTTGTTCCAGCCACGGTTTTGTGGGCTGTGAGTTGTTCCAGCCACGGTTTTGTGGGCTGTGAGTTGTTCCAGCCACGGTTTTGTGGGCTGTGAGTTGTTCCAGCCACGGTTTTGTGGGCTGTGAGTTGTTCCAGCCACGGTTTTGTGGGCTGTGAGTTGTTCCAGCCACGGTTTTGCATATTATTTGTGAATATTGCATCCACGGTATTGTGGGTTAATTGAGAATTGTTCCGATTACAGTGTTGTGCGTTAATTGTGAATTGTAGCCACGGTATTGTGGATAAGTTATATAGTGTTCCAACCACGGTATTGCAGGTTAGTTGTGAATTATTGTAGCCACGGTATTATAGGTAGGTTCAGAATTGTTCCAGCCAAGGTATTATAGGTAGGAAATTGTAGAAGTCAAGGTATTGTGGATTAGACGGGAATTGTTCCTGCCACAGTATTGTAGGATAGTTGTGTGACTTTCTACGTGTTGCATGTCTTCCATCCTCCCTCCTGTTGCCTGTTCTCCATCCTTCTGTTGCCTACCCTCTCCTGTTGCCTGTCCTCCATCCTTCTGTTGCCTACCCTCTCTCCTGTTGCCTGTTCTCCATCCTTCTGTTGCCTACCCTCTCTCCTGTTGCCTGTTCTCCATCCTTCTGTTGCCTACCCTCTCTCCTGTTGCCTGTCCTCCATCACTCTTGTTGTCATTTTTCCATACACCCACCTCCTCTTCCTCTTCCTCCTCCTCTTCCTCCTCTTCCTTCTCTTCTTCCTTCTTTGTTTCCTTCATCTATCGTAATGTGGTGATCGTCGTTTCTTCCCTCTCATTACTCTCCTGCTGCCTTCACCATGACAACCTTCCCTCCCTCCCTCCAAGCTGCTTCCCCTCACTCCATTCACCGTCATAGCCTCCATTCTGGTTTGAATCACTCCATTCATCACTTGAGTCTCTATACTCCTCCCTCCCTCCATCCCTCCAGTCACTATCAAAGCCTCCATTCTTCCTCCATCACTCCAGTCACTATCAAAGCCTCCATACTGCCTCTAATCACTCCGTCAGCTCGTTGGTTGAATGTGAAATGGAAGGTCGTTAGTTTTTTTGCACTCTGGCAGGATTGCTGATCTGTTGTTTCTTATGAACAAGTAAGATAACAGGTCTCACGAAATCGTAATGACACGATTGCAAACAAACCATACCAAGGGTGGGGTTTGAACCCGCGGCCAGAGTCTCAAAACTCCAGACCGACGTGTTAGCCACTGGACCAACTAACCACAATAAGATTCATCCAACTAGGTATATTTCTACACCATAGGAAGGTTAGCACAGGTACCAGACGAATCGTCTGCTAGCGTGGTCGTGACGAACTCTAGCTCAAGTCAACACGGCCATGCTAGCGGGAGATTCGTCTGTAAAAACTTGTATTTGTGGTCACAGTGGTGCCTATGCTAACCTTCCTATGGTATAGAAATATACCTAGTTGGATGAATCTTACTGAAGCTAGCTGGTCCAGTGGCTAACACGACGGGCTGGAGTTTTGAGACTCTCTGATCGCGGGTTCTAACCCGACCTGTGGTATGGTTTGGTTAAGATAACAGGTAAATCTTAGTGTCTTAGGTGAAAGGCAGTAATGAGAGGTACAAGTCATACCTCAGGTGAGAGGCAGTAATGAGAGGTACAAGTCATACCTCAGGTGAGAGGCAGTAGTGAGAGGTACAAGTCATACCTCAGGTGAGAGGCAGTAATGAGAGGTACAAGTCATACCTCAGGTGAGAGGCAGTAATGAGAGGTACAAGTCATACCTCAGGTGAGAGGCAGTAATGGGAGGTACAAGTCATACCTCAGGTGAGAGGCAGTAATGAGAGGTACAAGTCATACCTCAGGTGAGAGGCAGTAATGAGAGGTCAAGTCATACCTCAGGTGAGAGGCAGTAATGAGAGGTACAAGTCATACCTCAGGTGAGAGGCAGTAATGAGAGGTACAAGTCATACCTCAGGTGAGAGGCAGTAATGAGAGGTACAAGTCATACCTCAGGTGAGAGGCAGTAATGAGAGGTACAAGTCATACCTCAGGTGAGAGGCAGTAATGAGAGGTACAAGTCATACCTCAGGTGAGAGGCAGTAATGAGAGGTACAAGTCATACCTCAGGTGAGAGGCAGTAATGAGAGGTACAAGTCATACCTCAGGTGAGAGGCAGTAATGAGAGGTACAAGTCATACCTCAGGTGAGAGGCAGTAATGAGAGGTACAAGTCATACCTCAGGTGAGAGGCAGTAATGAGAGGTACAAGTCATACCTCAGGTGAGAGGCAGTAATGAGAGGTACAAGTCATACCTCAGGTGAGAGGCAGTAATGAGAGGTACAAGTCATACCTCAGGTGAGAGGCAGTAATGAGAGGTACAAGTCATACCTCAGGTGAGAGGCAGTAATGAGAGGTACAAGTCATACCTCAGGTGAGAGGCAGTAATGAGAGGTACAGGTCATACCTCAGGTGAGAGGCAGTAATGAGAGGTACAAGTCATACCTCAGGTGAGAGGCAGTAATGAGAGGTACAGGTCATACTCAGGTGAGAGGCAGTAATGAGAGGTACAAGTCATACCTCAGGTGAGAGGCAGTAATGAGAGGTACAAGTCATACCTCAGGTGAGAGGCAGTAATGAGAGGTACAAGTCATACCTCAGGTGAGAGGCAGTAATGAGAGGTACAAGTCATACCTCAGGTGAGAGGCAGTAATGAGAGGTACAAGTCATACCTCAGGTGAGAGGCAGTAATGAGAGGTACAAGTCATACCTCAGGTGAGAGGCAGTAATGAGAGGTACAAGTCATACCTCAGGTGAGAGGCAGTAATGAGAGGTACAAGTCATACCTCAGGTGAGAGGCAGTAATGAGAGGTACAAGTCATACCTCAGGTGAGAGGCAGTAATGAGAGGTACAAGTCATACATCAGGTAAGAGGCAGTAATGAGAGGTACAAGTCATACCTCAGGTGAGAGGCAGTAATGAGAGGTACAAGTCATACCTCAGGTGAGAGGCAGTAATGAGAGGTACAAGTCATACCTCAGGTGAGAGGCAGTAATGAGAGGTACAGGTCATACCTCAGGTGAGAGGCAGTAATGAGAGGTACAAGTCATACCTCAGGTGAGAGGCAGTAATGAGAGGTACAGGTCATACCTCAGGTGAGAGGCAGTAATGAGAGGTACAAGTCATACTCAGGTGAGAGGCAGTAATGAGAGGTACAAGTCATACCTCAGGTGAGAGGCAGTAATGAGAGGTACAAGTCGTACCTCAGGTGAGAGGCAGTAATGAGAGGTACAAGTCATACCTCAGGTGAGAGGCAGTAATGAGAGGTACAAGTCATACCTCAGGTGAGAGGCAGTAATGAGAGGTACAAGTCATACCTCAGGTGAGAGGCAGTAATGAGAGGTACAAGTCATACCTCAGGTGAGAGGCAGTAATGAGAGGTACAAGTCATACCTCAGGTGAGAGGCAGTAATGAGAGGTACAAGTCATACCTCAGGTGAGAGGCAGTAATGAGAGGTACAAGTCATACCTCAGGTGAGAGGCAGTAATGAGAGGTACAAGTCATACCTCAGGTGAGAGGCAGTAATGAGAGGTACAAGTCATACCTCAGGTGAGAGGCAGTAATGAGAGGTACAGTCATACCTCAGGTGAGAGGCAGTAATGAGAGGTACAGGTCATACCTCAGGTGAGAGGCAGTAATGAGAGGTACAAGTCATACCTCAGGTGAGAGGCAGTAATGAGAGGTACAAGTCATACCTCAGGTGAGAGGCAGTAATGAGAGGTACAAGTCATACCTCAGGTGAGAGGCAGTAATGAGAGGTACAAGTCATACCTCAGGTGAGAGGCAGTAATGAGAGGTACAAGTCATACCTCAGGTGAGAGGCAGTAATGAGAGGTACAAGTCATACCTCAGGTGAGAGGCAGTAATGAGAGGTACAGGTCATACCTCAGGTGAGAGGCAGTAATGAGAGGTACAAGTCATACCTCAGGTGAGAGGCAGTAATGAGAGGTACAAGTCATACCTCAGGTGAGAGGCAGTAATGAGAGGTACAAGTCATACCTCAGGTGAGAGGCAGTAATGAGAGGTACAAGTCATACCTCAGGTGAGAGGCAGTAATGAGAGGTACAAGTCATACCTCAGGTGAGAGGCAGTAATGAGAGGTACAAGTCATACCTCAGGTGAGAGGCAGTAATGAGAGGTACAAGTCATACCTCAAGTTTGAGTGCTCATCATTTTACAAAAAAAAAAAAACACACAAGAATAATTTGCATCATTGTGCACCTCATTAAGGAAGTTTTAAGTTCAGATAATGGGAAGTTAGTGAGCTCTCCCGGGTGATTACCTTAATTACTGAGACCTGATTATGTGCACTATCATGCTTATAATTAAGGTAATTATGCTCATACCCAGGACAATGATATTGAAAATTGAGGACAATAATACACAGAGAGGAAGGTGTAGGCCAGCAGGATTCGGACACACATTTGTTGGTGTCTACGAGCGTGACTTAGTTCTCCACTTGACGCCTAAGATCACTCAGCTACAGATGCGTCAACATGCTAGATAACCAGGTTACAAGTTATGTTTTCTCCTAGCACCGGGCACACCAGTGAGCCTCTGTCATAGTTTGATGTTATTTCATTATCTTCCTGCAATACTGTATCAGTGCCCCCCACACAGACACAAGCGGAGGTAAATGCTGCTTTTTCCGGCATATAAGGCGCACTTTTTTCCTCAGTCTTGGAAAATCATCCTGCGCCTTATATTCTCAAGGTCAGGGTCAAGGGTAGTCTTTTTGTTACACTTTAGCAGTTGTTTACTAACGTTACGTTACCACTCCTTGCAAACATTGTCTTATATGCTCGTGCGCCTTATATGCCGGAAAATACTGTACACAGAAAGATTGTTCCTGCATGGATCATTGATATTACATCGCTGGTGAGGCTTGAACATACAGGAGGAGAATGATATAACAGGAGACCATGAGGAGACTCACTGGTGACCACTGGTAACCAGACTACCTAATATTTTGATGCATCTGTAGCTCAGTGATCTAAGGCGTCGCGTGGAGAACTAAATCACACTCATGAACAAAAACAAACGTGGGTTCGAATCCTGCTGATCGAGGCCTTTCTGTATATACATTCACTTGTTCCTACATGATGCATTTATATATATTATATATATTATATATATATATAATATATATATATATATATATATATATATATATATATATATATATATATATATATATATATATATATATATATATATATATATATAATGATCACCATTGTTAGGAGCACTGTTAGCACCACTATTACTCTTGTGAAATATAACTTATGTGTAACTGTGATTTCTGTGTATCAGGCCGAGGGTCGTGCGGGTGGCGTGGGCGGGGATTCTGCGGACTCCACCCTCAGCGGCAGCGATGGGCGGGGTGGGCGGCGGCGGGCGGTGGGCGGTGAGGATAGGGACAAGTCCCACAAGAGGAAGTCCAACCTCAACCGCTCCGCCCGGAGTGATGAACCTGCCGTTGATGCCTTCCCTCCACCACACCCCAGTGACATCAATGGTGAGTACAATGCACCTTGTGTGTACTTCCCCACCTTACATCAATGGGAAGTACACTACATAATATATATCGTCTTACTGACGCAGCTGTACTGCTATGCCTCTCTGGGGATCGTTACTACTAGCCCTCCCAGGGGACAGTTGATAGTTCATGTATCCCTTGTTAATGATAGTAGGTGCACATTAAACTATCCCACTGGATAGTCACTCAGTCCACCTGATTGTAAACCACTTTATGGGTTTGGTAATATCCGTCATGTTATTACGTTGTGGGTCTGGTAATATCCGTCATGTTATTACGTTGTGGGTCTGGTAATATCCGCCATGGTATTACGTTGTGGGTCTGGTAATATCCGTCATGTTATTACGTTGTGGGTCTGGTAATATCCGTCATGTTATTACATTGTGGGTCTGGTAATATCCGTCATGTTATTACGTTGTGGGTCTGGTAATATCCGTCATGTTATTACGTTGTGGGTCTGGTAATATCCGTCATGTTATTACGTTGTGGGTCTGGTAATATCCGTCATGTTATTACGTTGTGGGTCTGGTAATATCCGCCATGGTATTACGTTGTGGGTCTGGTAATATCCATCATGTTTCTTGGGACTTAACCCAACTTTAAGATATGTTAATATTTGCTTTAAGATATACCAGAGGTATAGCTGTTTGTGTTTGTGAGACGATATTTGTGTGTTAGTTGTGGTTGTATGGGTCGAGCCACAGCTCCTGGCCCCGCCTCTTCACCGGTCGCTACTAGGTCACTCTCCCTGCCCCAGGAGCTTTATTATACCTCTTCTTAAAGTGTGTGTGTGTGTGTGTGTGTGTTAATAGGTTCGATCCTCCGTATGGCGATTGCTAGACTCTCATGTATCTGTATGCAGCTCAGCCAGGTAGGTTAAGAGACCATCTGTGGTGGAGGTGACCAGCTGTGACTAGATTCTAGGTGTGGATGAGGGGTGACTTGGGTAAGGGGGAGAGAGGGGAGAGCCTGTATAACAACTGGTCTCTCCTCGTTCAGAGTCTCAGCCTGCCTTGTTGACTTGACACACTGAGGGGAAGGGAGAGGGGAAGGTGAGGGGGAAGAAGAGAGGGGAAGATGAGGGGAGAGGTTGCAAGAGACATGCAGCCGCTTGTTTACACGCGGGATGACGTCCTTTGTTGGCTTGGAATCCCTTGGAGGATCCTGGAGGATCCTCCCCTAGTCTCCCTGGGCTCCTCTTGTCTCCTTTCGTCTCTTGTGTTCTACCAAACTCTCTCTCTCTCTCTCTCTCTCTCTCTCTCTCTCTCTCTCTCTCTCTCTCTCTCTCTCTCCTCTCTCTCTCTCTCTCTCTCTCTCTCTCTCTCTCTGTCTCTCTGTCTCTCTGTCTCTGTCTCTCTCTGTCTCTCTGTCTCTCTCCGTTGAACATTACATAGAAAGAGCTACGTTTAAACTGTGATTATTTTAATACCCTCGTTGAACATTGGATTACATAGAGAAAGTCGAGCCAATCTTGTTAATGCTTTGTATAAGCTGCCAGCATGTTATCCAGCAGTGACTGTTGTGATGTTATCCAGCAGTGACTGTTGTGATGTTATCCAGCAGTGACTGTTGTGATGTTATCCATCAGTGACTGTTGTAATGTTATCCAGCAGTGACTGTTGTAATGTTATCCAACAGTGACTGTTGTGATGTTATCCAGCAGTGACTGTTGTGATGTTATCCAGCAGTGACTGTTGTAATGTTATCCAGCAGTGACTGTTGTGATGTTATCCAGCAGTGACTGTTGTGATGTTATCCAGCAGTGCTGTTTGATGTTATCCAACAGTGACTGTTGTGATGTTATCCAGCAGTGACTGTTTTGTGATTTTATCCACAGTGACTGTTTAATTTATCCAACAGTGACTGTTTTGGGTTTATCCAGCGGACGTTGTAATGTTACCCAAA